TTGACCAATTGTTTTAAGATGTGTCGGTGTCTCAATTAAGTAGCGACACGTTTTCGCAGTCATAGATCTTTGATCACAGTAAAGTCGTCTTATCTGTAATCTTACCCATTGTGTATGCCCAGTTGCCGATTGTGACATTGTTGATGTCACTGTCGGTAGACTGCATGACCTAAATGGTATCAGAAGCCTGGTAGCAAGTGCTTTTCATAACGGCTTGACATAACTTTAGTATTGATACTTGAGAAAGACTTGTGTAAGAATTGTTGAATCCTACGGTTTTCGTCCCGATGCACCACCGTTCCTTAGCCTAGCTGTTTGGTGTATTTTTGTTGTGCAAATTTTTTGTTTATTGCTCTTCAACGATTTATACTTTCGGAATTCCAATATCAGTTTTCTGGCAACAATGAGAATATACAGTTTTCAAAATTTCAGTATTGATAAAAAGTAAACCTATCTGTAATTTTGTTGTTGTAGTTACGAAAAAGTAAAAATGAGCTGAATATGTGTTAGTAAGAGCTTTGGTGAGCTATTTATATGGCCATCCCAATGGAAATTCAGAGAGTACACGGCATGCAAATAGAGACAAGGATATGTTCTACATAAATATCAAAGAGTGTTACAGCTCTTTTCATAATGCTAGCAAGACAAAGGTTTGTTTGACTTGCTTGCTTTGTTTGTATAAATGCTTGCTCAAGCATTGTAATTAAGATTGACATCTGTAAACAATATAAGTAGGCGGAGTTAAACCTGTGTATAGGTAAATTTGATTATTTGATAATGTCCAATCAAATTTAAATATAATGTATACAAGTTTAAATCCGCCTTTTTATGTTGTTTTCAGATGTCAATCTTAATTCCAACGCTTGAGCAAACATTGATACAAACAAAGCAAGCAAGCCAAACAAACCTTTGTGTTGCTAGCATTATGAAAAGAGCTGTAAAGGGGCATTAACTACGGGATAAAAAAAAAAAAAAAATGATTTTTTTTTGTTCAATCATTAATGAAAGTGAAATAGTGATATAATAATTCGCTTTTAACAGCCAGTTTGGTTAAGTTTTGTCAAAATAATCAAAGAAACATCGCTAATAATTTATTTACTTGCAAGTGAATAACTCGACCTCATTAAATCCGTATTCATGTGAACTTCAACTGAACCCCTTAGCTAGAGATGGGTTACGCATGAACTAGGCGTGTTCAGCTATTAAAAGATTGGAAGTGAAACAAGGGTAAACCATTTGGTTGACTGATTCGATCTACAAAAAGTCATTGTTATACAGGTAAAAACGATTATTAACATATTTTTTATACCTATCATATAAAATCAAACAGACATAGAAAAATCCAATTGCACGAGTTCGCTATCTGTTCATATCTATGTTTATGTTTATTTCGGGTTATATGACCGTCGGCAATCTTCGGAGGTTACCTCGATGGTTAAATAGATGGCGTCTAGACTAAAATACAAACGAAATGCTGATACATATTATCGAGTCCGTGCATCGTAAATTGTTTATTTTAGACTTTTTATTATTTGGATATATATCCGTTTTATTATGTTATAAATCAAATACGAGAATTTGAGTCAAATCGGTGAACATGAGTTTGACAGCTTTGAGTCAAATCGGTGAACATGAATTTGACAGCTATGCCCCTTTAAAATCCGAGCATTAATATGTATTATGACTGCCATTTTTAAAAAAAACTGTTGGCCAACAAATAATTTTCGTCACAGGCTAAATTTTGAATAGCATATTATACGGATATTGTGTTATTAAAATTTGCTGTTATAAAATTTTGGAAATTATTTCAAATTAAGAAATATATCTCCCTCATGCAAAGGTCGGATTCATTGCCCGGCTTTCGCTATATTTTTTGTCCTTTTTGGTTAATAAGCTCATCATTGTTTTAATTAGTTTTGGATTTTCAAATAGTTTGGTCATGAGCATCAATAAAGAGACATTTATTGTCGAAATGCGCATCTGGTGAATTTGGAAAAATTGGTACCGTTAATGTTATTATACCTGTACATTGTATCAATTTTTGATAAAATTCTAGCACACAAAGATGTTTCTCAAAATGTGAAATTTTCAGCAAAAGGTATGTTTCATCCACATTGTATTTTGTGATTTCTAAAAAAAAAAAGTTGTGAACCGGAATCACTCTGAAAAATGTATTATTCTATATTTTAATATTCCATCAAATCCTAGCACAATTTGTTTTACCGGGAATACATTTGGAATAGCATATTATCCCTGAGGGCAAATAACAACTACACAAGTTTATGATGATGCAACACTACAATTTTAGCTCCTGATTGTGAATTTCAATCTTAACCCATAAAAGAATATTTTGTAATGGGTGAAAAAGACAAATATCAATATAAAATTTTGAAAAGTTAAACAATTTAGAGTGATCTCCCATTAACTATGAATTTGCTAATGATAGTGTAACATCTCATATCAACTTTTTAGGAGCAGATACCGCCGTAACGTATGAATCTCTTTTGGATCTGAAAACGCTGCCCTAAAGGGAACCTGCATCAATCGTCATCTAAACAAAACATTATTAAGGAGCATATAAGATAAGAGTCGGTGTCTGTCTACACTTCAATATTAACTAAAATCCCAAATATGTAAAATTAGACAAATCAGATACAACGGAAATCAAAGGTATTGAACACAATAAATATAATATACGTTGACAAAATGAACGGTAATTTTAGGAATGAAACTATGTACAGTCGAGCTGATACGAAAGTACTTTGCCAAATTTTTCTTTATGAATTTCAGACAAATCAATATTTGTTACAGGGAAACAATTTGGAATAGGCATTATACCTTTATTTCGATTTAAAAAAAAATCTAGTACAAACAGATTTTCTAAAAAAAGTTCTCAGCAATTTAGATTTATCTGCATTTCCTCCTCACTTAATCTTCGTACAATTCATTTTTTCCTTCATAAAGCAGTGTTCATTGAAATCCTTGCACAAAAAATAAGTTTCTCAAAATTTGCGAATTTTGATCAGATAGTAACTTGTCACCACATTTTTTTCTCAATTTAAGAAGTTTTTTTGTAACTTTGGATTAATTTGGAATAGGTTTTATACTTATATTTAACATTTTGTTCATATCCCAGAAAACTGATTTTCCAAATTTGTGATTTTTCAACAAAAACTCCAATGGAATAGGTAAATTTTCACAAAAACATGCCATTTACAATTTACCGGTATCCTACACATACGTTAGGAGTTTTACAGACAGCAGACAGACCTACAGACAGACGGATGAAATGAAAACTATAGGGTTTCCGCAGCATTAAAAAGTAAAAGTAAGAAATTAATATAATATATCAGACATAGATAAAATATTTTTTTATTTTAATATCGTGTCACATATTGAATGTGCATTATACAATAACATAATAAAAATATATATTAAACAACAATACCCAGCTACTGAGTTGGCTTATGAGACACATATTTACAAAAATATTCTAAATGATATTGACATATGATTTACTTAATTGGTTTTTGAACAATTAAAACTTATTATTCTAAATAATAAAGTAAAGTAAAAAAATATGTAGATAAAATTACTTTTAGAAATGACAACATTCCCTTAAAAATCTCAACAAATAAACAAGCAAAACAAATGTTGAAATCACAAAGAAATCAGACACAACCATCATATTTGTTACTCATAAACAAAATATATTTGAATATAAGTTTAGCACTTGTTTAGACAGGTAAAAAAATAAACCAATAAAATCAATCTCTGATAATGTTAATTGGAGTAGTATTATTAACTCTACTGTACAAGTTGATTTCTTTCAAAATAATTTACTGGAAAATCAAACTATTTACGGTAAGAAAGATGCATGTACAATTATAAGGCAACAATCGATGGGCAAAACGATTTAATTCTTGAGATAAGAGCGTTGAAGATGGATCAAGATTTGAATGATTTGATTATGTCTGAAATTGGATTCTTGTAAAGACTGAATCTAAAATCGTTACAAACATTTAGGTCATATATAATTATGATTTATCAAACTAAACCGGTTGATAGAATATGAATATTGCGAGGAGTCAATCTTTGTTAATTTGGATTTGTCAGGAAACTATTGAAGGTACGTTAAAAATCACCAAACCCCAGTTTCTAAATTGACCAAGTAAAAGTTTCAGAAGAGGTTGACGGAATCATTACCTATTGGTAGAATTTTCTATCCGATGAATCAGTTATAACAAATGCGCCCATTTTTTTCATCAGAAAGAGACTCCCTACTTTCACACAGGTGTCTTGTATCTACCGTGAAAGTGTTCAACAACAAAGAAGTAGAGCTGCGTTTCCCTGAATTAATTTCACACCAGGGCTATATAAATGAAGTCTTTTATTTTGTTGTATCACAGTTTAATGTGTAAAAATTTGTGATTGAAACACTAGTAAGACTCATTTCCACACACATGATCAAATCAAAATGCATAAAGATAAACAAAAACCTCTAAGTTTAAAATATGTTGCCAAATTTGAGAACTTTTCGTAAAATGTATAACAATGACATTCTTAACCAAAACCCAAATAATTTGAATGCAAAGCTTTAAATCTTTCTGTCCAATTTGAAATTATTCCTTTTTGGTTTGGTGTCCTTTTCTTCACAATTTTCGACGAAGAAAAAGTGTCAATAATGTTTAAAAATTGTATTCAACAACGATATATAGCGCATTTCGATTAAATGGAAAAATTAGAATTGTTGAAAATAATCAGTGTAATTTTAAAATACAAACACGGTCGTTTCATATCTTGAATATTAATTTTGACATATTGTTTATCAATAAATCAATAAATTTTATTCAGGAAAATGATGACATCGTCATCATGTAACAGCTTGTGCACACAGTGTCAAGAAGATGATGTACTAAACCAAGCAGTCACGTGGTGCACAGAATGTGAGGTGTTGCTCTGCATAGATTGTGACAAACATCACAATAAGTCACGGTCATCTCAACACCACAAAACCATGTCTACCAAAGATTACCACGAACAACCTGCATTCATTCATGAAGTAAGTAGTCGATGCAAAAACCATAATAAAAAGTTAGAACTTTACTGTTCCTTCCATGCATGCCCATGCTGTGTACAGTGCGTGTCCAATCACCAGAAATGTCAAGACATGAAACCATTGAGTGATATTCTGACACATGTTAAATCATCTGCCTCTGTCCAACAACTTGAAAATGATTTAAAAGATCTTGAGGAAAACTTTGATGATATTTTGATTTATTTGAAAAGCAGACTCGACAAAAGCCATATTCAGAAAACAGAAGCCATTGAAGAAATTCGTGCTATGAGGGAATCCCTAGATGATTACATAAACAGGTTAGAACAACAAATTCTCGATAACTTAGAATCTAAGCACTCGAAACTGAACTCAATTATACACACTCTTGTAAAACAAATAGAACATCGATCAGTTAAAATTCACAAATTACAAGAAGATTTTTCCAAAATGACAGAATTTGCGACAGAGTTTCAAATGTACGTTGGTTTAAGAGAAATTGAGAAGACAACATCCGAAGCTACAAAATACATTTATGATTTGGAGGTTGGTGGCCACTTGAATGAACAAAAATTAGAAATTAAAATTTCACCCTCCCTTCAATCAGTTATAGAGGAAGTCAAATCATTTGGAGACATAGATATCACCACCAATAATAATAGCACTTTTTCTGTACATCTTAATACTGAAAGAAGAGATCAAGCACAATTTTTAGTTCATACTGATCCTGGAATGGATCAAATTGAGCCATCATTACTGAAAAAATGGAAAATTCCAAAGAAAATGAAACCGTGCTATGTAATAGCCTGTAGAATACTACCAGATGGTAAAATTTTAATTCTTGATAACAGGCAACGAAGACTATTGATTTTCAGTAAAAGTGGTATCTTTATTAAAATTGTGGTGACATTCAAGGTCAATCCCTACGATCTGTGTTTTATAAGAAATAATACAATAGCTGTCTCATTTCGTATGACAAACCTGATAGAACTGGTTGATATAGCTAAAAACGAAACTACCAAAAGATTGATTCTTTCTCATGCCTGTCATGGAGTATCAAGTGATGGTCAGGTTTTGGTCATCAGTAGTGTTAATGAGAAAAAGAGTTCTTTAATCAATCTGAAAAATATGTCTCCTAAAATCTTAGAAGGAGTTTGGGGCACATGTATTGCACTATTCAATGAAAACATTTATTGCGCTGACAGCTATACGAACAAAGTAAGTTGCTACCGTAGGTCTGGAGAACCTCTATGGACATTTATGCACACTAACATACGAAACATATATGGACTTGCATTAGACGTTAATGGCTATGTTTATATAGCTTCGTATAAAAATGATGTAATCGTGGTGGTGTCACCAGATGGTAAAACAAGCAAAATAATACAATCAAACGCTGATGGTGTTATCAATCCTACAGGAACAGACATTAACAAAGAAAAGGGAATGATGATCGTGTCATGTCAAATCAGTAATGACGACGCGTATATCTTGGTTTTTAAAATTTGAAATGTTACAAAAAAGTCTACATATGTTACTGAAGGTGTTAAATCTCTTCGTCAGGAGGAAGATTCATTTTATTACATGAAATATTATTTTTGAATTTTGAATATGCGGAAAGGATGTGTAAGAGAGGCGAAAGATACCAAAGGGACATTCAAAACTTATCCACTACTTTAGATTAACACAAACTACACATGATTTGATATGCTAGTATATTTTTTATATCTCCCTCTTGCTATTTCAAACTTTAATATGTGCAATAATGTGAATTATTTTCATAAGTCCTTTGTTGTTATATGTACCCCAATTGAGTTAGTTCTAATACGAAAATTTCTGCTATCATTAAAAAGATCACTCGTCCAGACATCAATATATTTTAACATAAAGTTTTATGATATTCTTTTATAGGAAAATTTGGATAGAACATTTTAGTTTGATCTAACTGAAAATAACTTTACTTTTAAGATTACCATTATGGCTTATTTTCAGACGGCAAGAACTTTGATAATGTAATTTACGTAATAGAGTGTACCTTGTGTGGTCTACTTTATGTTGGCGAAACTCGACAAACATTGCGTAATAGGATGAACCAATGCCGGTCTGATAATAAATATCCGGCATCCAGGATTCTATATTACCATTTTAATCAATCGGACCATGATCCTTCTTTATCCATGAAAGTAAGCATCGTTGAGAAAATTTACCACCATACTAATACCCCTATACTAAGAATGCCTTTCAGAACAGAGATAATTTCTGGATAAGTGAACATAGAAAGATTTAATTCGCAATGCTTTCCTCCATTAAGATGGTACAATACACTACAAAGTTATTGTTTTGGGATATAATTCGGCATATTTTATAAAACATGAGCTAGAAAAAAAAACATGCTACACCGAAGAACAAGTGATCAGTATCCTGGAGTTTCTCATTGACACTATCTTTGTTGAATTTGGAGTTAGAATTTTTCAGCAGGTTGTCGGCCTTCCTACGGGCGCCAACTGTGCACCTCTCTTGGCCAAACTATAATTATTTTCATATGAGTCGGAGTTCCTACAGACACTTGTTAAAACGAGTAGACAATTAACAATATGAACGTTTCTGATTAAGTTGTGTCCCATTGATATATCCCACTGAACTAGAGATTTAAGAAACCACAGAAACAGCCTCCTTCGCCTTATTACTAGACCTTTACCTTGCACAGTGGTCATCTCAATACCAGAATCTATGACAAACAAGACGATTTCAATTCTGAAATTTTAAATTTTCCTCACCTTAGTAGCAACACAGTAACTTCACTCGCGTATAGAGTATACATTACTCATACGTTATTCCAGAGCTTGCAGATTCGTCTCATACTTTGTAAAACGTCATCGGTGTCTGAGCCAAAAAATAATGATCCAAGGTTTTGTCTAGGTTTCTAGATTCTAGGTGCTGAAGTTGTGTATTTTGTTATCTATCTGACAGTTTTCCCTTTAGATGTTTTCATGCTATTATGTTTCTTTTCGTCGTATGACATTTGAAGTGACTCGGTATTTATGCATCCAACTATCGGGTTTGTCTTTGGGCGATCCTGATGCAAGTGGGTCCTGAGATGCGATTCGGACGCAAAAGGTTGTACAGCGTTGTTTCCATAATTTTTTTATTTTGTATTCATATAATTGTACTTAATTTGTGCTAGATCGAGAAAGTGTATACTATAAACTTTGTCACTTTAATATCAACTACAAAAACTTTTTTGTTGCCGTCTTTGTTAAATGAACTACTAGTATAAATTACATTTTTTTGTTGTCATCTTTCTTAGATTTATTTATTTGTTTGTTTGAATTCTTTTGCCATTTGTGTTGTATGTCTGTTATATATGTTTACTCAGTTTTGACTGCTGGATCCCACTAAATGTCACATTAACTCATTACGTCTGTTTGAGTTGCTTACCCGATTTTGTCAATACAACGGAACTATAAACAATTGTGAGGTTTAGATAGATATAAAACCAGGTTTAACCCACCATTTTAATTTCGAAAATGACTGTACCAAGTCAGGAATATGACAGTTGTTTTTCACTTGTTCCGTTGATTGATAGCGTTTGATTTTGCCGGTTTTTATGGACTTCCCCTTTTCGAATTTGCATTGAGGTTCGGTAATTTTGTTTTACTTTTTTCCATATATCATAACTGCAGATTGGCGTTGTAATTTTTCTGTCCAGGACAAATAATCGGTTATGTCTGTCCTTTGCAAATAGCCAGTTATTCTGCCCTATTCGTGTTGACGACAAAATAGTTCCTAACATCTATAGCAGATTAGGAATATGCCTGTTTTGTTAACGTCCAGTAAAATGACAGCGGAATTTGTCAAAGAAACAAAAAACATTAACATTAGAATGGGGTTGCTTATAATTGCTACCATCAATTTCATTTGAACTTTGGTGGATAATTGTCTCATTGGCAATCATTCCTTGCGCTGATATGGGAGTCTTGGGATGATACCAGGGCCGTTAGGAAAAAGGACATATTATAATCTTTAATTTCGCAGATTTAAGATTTTATCTTTTGTGTATTCCTTTAAAAAATATTCTTGTAAATCTTTGATCAATAATTTTTCAGTCATCATTTACATAATAATTTCATGTAGTGCAGATCATAAGAAATATCTATTAAAATTATTAAATCTACAATTTTTACATGTATCAAACATCTAACATTATATTGAGGCCTATAATTGTGTAAATAGTGTCTACTTAATTATATAAGATTAAGTTAGGTAATTTGGTCCATATGATTGGCATTTACGAAGTTGGTATTTCAATAAAAGCCCCACCTTACCTCTATAAGTTTTTTTATCATGGCAGTTGTCTATCAAACTGATATTGCAATAGTACTCTTTCCTTATGAAAATAACCCTACTAAGCAACAATTTGACAAACTACAGACTTACATACATGAATGAACTGCTTTCAAGATGTAACAAAATTTTGCTCACTGTTTATAAGTGTACTTTTCCACAGACATTAAAACTATTGGTAACACTATTTCAGTATGTGTATATTTGTAGCTAAATTTGCTATATATATATATATCCTGTTTGGTGAGGCTGGTGCCCTAAGTCATGTATAGGAACAATAGATTCAATATTTTCAAAAACGAACATCTAAAATGGTAATTATGACACAAAAGGGCAACTTCTTGGGCAAACTAGCAGTTCACAACAATTAAGAGAATTATCCTTTTCCCTAAAAGAAAGTCTATGTTAAGTAAACATAATTTTTATATAAAAAATATCATTGGTAACCAGGACCACCTTGTTTAAAAAAATAAATCATATCAGAGGTTTCCATGTTTTTTGTTTAATTGTGTAAAGATAACATTGAACCCAGCGGCTGCACGTATAACTTTGACTAAGAAAATATAAGTTAAAGAGACATTTTGACTTGTCAAAAGCAGATAACTTATAATATAAAAGACCTGTATTCCAATGTCCCACCTCTGAGTTCCAAATATTTGATCTGTCCAAGGGCTGTAACAAAAAAACAAAATATTTATCTTTTTAACTGTTTAATATATATATTATTAGTTACATAGTGTGCTAGTGACCTAATACGATATATATGGGGTCAGTAAATTCCATATAGAATCTGGCAAAAATTGTAAACATGAGAGCGCTTACAATTGAATTTTTCTGTAGACTATAAATTATTAAGGAACATGTTTCTTTATTATATATGGAATTTACTGACCCCATATATATCGTATTAGGTCACTAGCACACTATGTAACGAATTTATCTTGCCGACTATCTTAACATGTGGTATTGAGACTAGTTGCCTATCAAAGTAATCATTTCTTCAATACCGTTAGTATCAAGAACCTACTTCCATTGGTCTTTACAAAAAAAAAATGCCAACAATAACAACTTGTTAGCTTTAAATGTGTTTTATGAATTTATTTCAATCGTTCATCATCAATTTCTTCGTCCGTTAAAACCTTTAAGATTTTTCCTCAACACCGTTTTGTTCTTATAAAAGGACTTAACACCAGTACTAACCGTGTATTGAAATAAGCCCCGCCTACTAACCCAATATGGAACCCTACTAACCCAATATGGAATATACACGGTCTCCACGCGGTTGCTTTTAACCAATCATATTCCTAGAAATGTATAGGAGGTAAGATAATACAAGATATATAGGCATGAAAAAGCTAACAATGTTATTTTCATATACTTCTATTTCCAAGTACATAGTTTTTGAAAAAAATAGTTTGTCGGCACTCTTCTAAAAACTTGCTGATATTCATTAGATTTAATTTTCTAAGGGACCTCACTCCTGTGAAAATAATTGATCTGGCTGATATTCAAACTTGTTCAAGACTTGCTGTCATGAACCTTTGATATAAATTTCTTACATATCAGGAAAAAGTTGTATACATGAGAGCACTTACAATGGAATTTTTCAGTAGACTATAAATTTCTAAGGAACATGTTTCTTTATTATTTGTTGATCAACGCTGATTTTTAAAAACTTGTCCAAGTCTTGGTGATATGAACCTTTGCTATAATTTTACTAAATATCTGCAAGAATTGAACACTTGAGAGCGCTTACAATGGTATTTTCTATAAAACTAGCAGTTTCTTAGGGTAAAACGTATAGCAAAAATACTGAACTCTAAGGCAAATTCAAAAAGGGGAAGTTCATAAAAACTGATACAACCAAAAGCTATCAATCAACGGAACAAGTGAAAACAACTGCCATATACCTGACTTGGTACATACATAGCTCCTGTAAAAATCATGGACGAACAGACGGATGGAGGAATGACAAATATGTCTTTGTCCCCGCAACTAGTCAGGCCTGGACAAAAACAACAACCTTTTTCACAAAGGAACTTTATATACATTATTTTTGATTTTTTAAAATGTCATACAAAAATAAAAAAAACAAAAAAAACAAACAGGAAACATATTTTTACATACTTTTCCCAAGTGAGAAAACCAAACTGTAGTTGTCTTGTATCATATTTTAATGTATTGCCATTGGTTACTTGGGAAATTCAAATTGGTGTTAATGGTTGATATTTGATTGTTAAATTTATTCACAACTCTTATAGACTCGTTAGGATTTATTGCATAACATATTATGTAGCAACCAGTCTTTTGCCCTCCATATGTCGTTTGTAAATTTTTGTTGTTGTTTCATTTTACGTAAACCCAACACCTACATATATTTATAATATTTTTTTTCCTAATTATGGTCGCTATCATTACCCTATATCTATTAAAAATATCCAGCAGAAAATGACAATTTGTACATGTTTAAACAAATAAGAGATTAAAGCCAATAGATATATTCACAATTTAGTGTTTTTGGACATTAACTTCCTTGTACAACTTCCTCATACAACTTCCTTTTCATGATTCCATCACACCATCATAATATTTATGGTAAGAATGTTTAAAATGTTCAAACGTTCGCTGATTATATTTTGTATTAAATTTGAAATATACAATGATTTGACAATAACGAAGCAGCAAAAACTTTAGTATACACATTTAATTTTTTATGTCCTGAAAGTTTAAAATATATATCTTAATTCACAGATGACCACGGATATATTCCAACTGTTGTAACTGAAATCCCGTCCATTTTCCCCCGAATATGACCTACCGAATAAGACATATCACCGGATTTTGTACCAACATGAGCAACACGACTGGTGTCACATGTGGAGCAGGATTTTCTTACCCCTCCAGAGCACCTGAGATCACACCCGGTTTTTAGTGGGTTTCGTTTTGCTCAGTAATTGGTTTTCTATGTTGTGTTTTATGTACTGTTGTTTGTCTGTTTGTGTCTGTTTTTTTTTAACTTTTTTAGCATTTTAGTTGTCGGTTATTTTCGACTTATGACTTTGAATGTCCCTTTTGTATCCTTCGCCTATCTTATGCTTTTGTCGTTATCATGTTTCGGCAGATTTCTGATATTCTCATCTGGTTTTATTCTCTATCTACTAGAGTCAGGGCAATCGAAAGCTAAACATGTGGTAAGAACATTTGTGTTTTGTTGATAACCACATATTAAACTCTTAGTGTCGTATTTGTAATTGTTGATGTGTTACTTGGTTGATCTGTCATTGAAAAATACTACGTAGATAACTAGAATGTTAACAATTGGAAAAAAAATGCAATTTAATATACTTGTTTTTGTAGAATTAGATATTCTCAACAAAATTCCAACTAGCATCAACATCTTTAAGAAGACACTCTTGTTTGTAAGGCAGTTGCTAATATGTGAATATTACGGTGAAAGTCTAAAAATGACGGAAGTTTAAGATCAAATGCAAGACAAAAATCAACAATATTACCACTGCTTTCAAAAAGATAAGATTTTTTTAATCTAAGGGACAAACTAATCACAATCTCATGCCATCTAATTTAGCTATTTATTTCAACATTAAATATATCTTTGAATATGATTAAAACTTTTCGATGGCTATTTTATTTCCAAATTGGGTCATGCAAGAAGAAAGATACACATCAAATTTTAGTAATCTTTTAATTCATAATAAAGATTTACCAACCATAAATCAGTGGAAAATCTAGTGACAAAATATTACCTCCACAGTAAACAGTAAGTTATTGATTGAAATTTACCAACAATAGAAATGAATGTTCTATTTTTTCATACACAATGGGACGCATATATAAGACAGTTTTAAATATATATTAAGTAAATTTACAATATCTTAGGATCACATCTATGGGATACGAGAATTGAAAATGTCCTTTGTTTCGGATAAATGAAATAAAATATTAATTTGCGTACCAACATGTGAGAAATCATGGAGTGGCCATTTTTTCCAACGTAGTGCAACAGTAACTTTATCAATATTATCAACTTTTCATATCTAAGATTTTTTTCAGTTAATATTGGAAATTTTACAACAAAATGAACATGTTAGACGTAATCAATGCACAATCACAATTTCAATTACCATGTAAAACCTAAATTATAATCATGTGTACAAGTTTGTTTTGGTGGCAGGTACCAGTTTTGGTGTACCAGAACATGTGTCCCACGCAGAAATTTTGTTATAGTTAAGCATTGAGGTATATAGTTGCATCATGTGGACTGAAAAAATAAATGAATCTAAATTCTAGGCTATTATACTACACAAGTAAGTAGTTGCATACACAGGTTGGGGATTTCCTGCACATATGGGTCCAATCAGAAGTCAAAATTGTGGTCTCCCCACTTGACGGCATCCAATCAAAGTGGGGAAAAAATTCAGTTTTATGTAAACAAAAATATCTTGAGATTTTGATGGTAAGGATAGGTTCGGACAAGGTTCTAATTCACTGAATATCATTTATCTCTTGAATTTTGCCTGAAATTCTTGTCTGCTATTAGCAGGATTCTGCAAGTGAGGATTAGATTTGTATCAAAGAATAACATTTTTTGCCTTATTTACAATGCATTTATAAATTTTAAAATCTCCATGCTGGACAGACACCCAAATTTAAAGGTTTTCTATATATTCACATAAGCACGCACACATCTTAGTTACTTGAAACCATACATTTTATTTGTATATAAGCTTGAATGAATTTTCAAGAAAATAAAATCATAAATCCATGAAATTCTAAAGATTTATTGTAAAATAACTGGTTTCTGCCACCTTTTAAAGTTCAATATTTCTACGCAAATTTATAATCATTGATTTTTTGATGATGTACAAAATGTTATTTAATATATCATACAAAAGTTAACAGAAATATTTTTTTTGGTTGGAAACGATCATAAATTCAATAAATTATCCATACTTTTGTAGGGAATTTTTAGGCGTAGTGATATCCTGAATTTACCGGAAGTTGTTCAAAGGCTGATCGCTGATCTTCACAAAGTGAAACCAAATGGTATTTAGTAAAACAGTTGGTAAAGTTTGTTAAACAGATTGAATTGTGGTAAGATACTATGTCATGTGCTGAAATGCACACGCTGATTACAAAACCATTCCTTCGATCTCCCATGAAGCCCATTTTATGTCCGTTGATTTGATGATCATGTATGACGAGGTCAAACAATTTTTATTCTTCTTAATGAATTTTGATTTGTATTAGAGCATATATAGTTGTCTATTTTACAGAAAGATTTATAAAAATAGGATTTTAAAAAAGTTGTTTGTTGTTCTATATGTTATTCAAGTTATATTTCCTATGGAGAGCAACTGGTTGCCATTACAACATGTTACATTGTAGAGAGTTATTTTTTAATTTATTTCTTGTGGTTTACAAAATGGCAAGAAAAAAGAATGAGTCAAGAATATTTGGTTTAGCTTCTGGAAAACACAGAGCAAAACGGCAAGGAATACGAATAGGTTCAGGCAATGTCAAACATGTTTTCAAGCGTACTTTGAAGGAAGGGACTGGAGTAAGAATTATAAAGAAGCATAGAGCAATTGCTAACAACAGAAGAATAATTAAACTACTAAAGCTAACTATAAAAAAAGAGATTCCAGGTGTACAGGTCTGTTGATGGAGAACTCAAAAGTGTTGAAATTAACAATATAGCTGCAACAGGACATAGAATAATAAACTTACAGTGTTTACAAAAACATGTTTCAGAGATAACGTGTCATGGCTATTTCCTGTGCAGTTCCAATAATTTTGGAATCCCAAGTAGCTCATTTTGGACTCGCTGTAATTCTCGCCGCTAAATGTACTGGATGTGGAAAAAAAGTTCATTTTGAAACTAGCCCCAAGTTATTGAATGTTGGAACAAGACACTATGACATCAATGTCAGAACTGTGTGGGGCTCGATAGTTAGTGGAAACGGTTTAGCTCACCTAAATGAACAATTGGACAGCATGGATTCACCAACTATGGCCCAGAACACATTCAGCGTTATTGAACACGAAATTAATTAGTTGTGGAAAGTAATGATAGAAGAAGAAATGTCATCAGCCATAGACTTGGAGAAAAAGATCGCAATAGAAAAGAATAGATATCATGAAGGTGTGCATAATTTTAATACAGTTATATATCCCTTACAAAACTATGATCATTGACAAATGACATTCATGATAATCATGACAATGGGAGCTAAATTAAAAAAAAAGTAAAAAAAAAAAAAGAAACTGCATACAATTACATTTGTAAAATATCTAGGAGAATATTCAAAAGGGTGTAGTTGCACTTCTAATTTTTAGACATTAAATGTCCAATTTCTTTTTATATGTTTACCACCACGATATTATAATTATAGAGGGGAACAGCCCTGGTTTTCAAAACAGTATCCGTTATTGGAGGAGTTGCCGTTATAATTGGTGCAGAAACTAAAAAAATCTTGCACATAGGAATCCGCAATAAATATTGCTATATATGCAATAGATGTAACTCTCTAGGAATAACACCTAAAGACCATGAATGCTTTAAAACTAGACTGAATCAAGTCAATCAATGGAGTCTGATATCATTGTTGAGGGTTTTTGAAAGCTAATGATTTTGGAGTCCGTTATATGCAATTTATTGCAGATGGTGACTCATCTATTCATGCACAAGTTATGCAACGTGTTCCTGTTTGGGGAAAATTTGTACAAAAGATGGAGTGTGCCAATCACATAACCAAGTGTTTGAGGGGTAATTAAGAAAATTTAGTTAATGAAAATCCAAGTTACAAAGGAAAAGGCAAGCTATGTAAAAGGACCAGGATAAGAATTGTAAGTGCTGTCAGGTGTTCTATAAGAAGGCGGGCATCAGAAATAAATAAAACAAACGCAATCAAAAATTTGGAACATTATATCAGAATTACATCACATATTTATGGAGATCATACCAGATGCAATGAAGATATCTGTCAAGTAAAACAGAATTTAGGTAAAAACCAGAGTAATGAAGCACAAACGGATGTTATTGATGATAATGATGACGACAATGGTGATGATGATATTTTCTTGCAGCAGTCAGAAATGTGGACTCAAGTTACATCCTCGTCCTTACAAGCCCAAGAGCAGTCAAGAGGGTCTTACATGCTGTGTGAGTCAGATTTACAATCTGGAATGAGACAGGATCTGGCTCTCCTCCTCAACAATGTTGCACGTAAGGCAAGATCTTTGATAGGTAACTTTACCACTAATTTGGCCGAATGCTTGATGCATATGCGAACACAATTTGACGGTGGAAAGATGCTGAACCACTGTAACAGAGGAGCATGGCATACAAGATGCTATGCCACAGCATTAAGATTCAACAAAGGCCCAACTTGGTCTCCAAATGTGTGGGAGCAAGCTACTAAATCAACACCAGGTGTATATTTCGAAAAGCTTTATGAACAGCGTAAACAATGTATCAACAATAACAATACCACCAAAGACAAGTGTAGTATAAAACAAAATCGACGGAAAAGAAAAATGTCTTCTATAAAAGAATCAAATACAAAGAAAGCAAAACAACATTATGGAAAAGAATCTTTACAGGTTGAAACAGATATTACGTCGGAAGAATTAGAAAAATTAAAAATAAATTATTTGATTAAAAACATAGACATATCTGAAGCTGACATCATTAAAATTGAAAAACAAACAAAGTTGCAACTATGTTCTGAAATTTGAAAAGATGAAAGAAAAAAACGCATAACAACAAATTTTGGCTCAGTTGTAAAAAGAAATTCAAAAATTAAAATAGCACCATTGATAAAACAACTCATATACAGTACCTCAAAAGGCAACAAAACTACAAGAATTGGAATAAAAGAGGAAAAAGTTACCATCACTGAGTATGTAAATATTAAACAGAAAGAAAATATACACACCAAAGTTGAACAATCAGGACTTGTCATTGACAAAGATCATAAATTTTAAGGAGGAAGTCCAGATGGAATATTTACAGAAAACAATGCTAAAGGACTTATTGAAATTAAAAATTTAGTTCACGATAAGAATATTAATTTGACACAAGCTTCAATGTCAGTAAAAAACTTTTGCCTTGAAAAGATATCGAACAATTTAAAACTTAAAACAAACCACAACTATTACTTTCAATGCCAGGGTTTGTTGAATGTATGTAATTTACCATGGATATACTTTGTCGTACGAACATTAAATCCATATGATATACATATAGAACGAATATATAAGGACACAATACTTTGGCAAACCAAGATGATACAAAAACTAACAGCATTCTACCATAATGCTTTACTTCCCGAGTTAGTTTCACCACGCTACAACAAATATCCAGGAAAGAGAGAACCTGGCATATGAATAAGGAAGTGTTAGACGCGCTTTTATACATGTATGAATAATCTTCCACATGTACTTTAATATCCCAAAAAATGAAGGCATAGATTGTACTTAAATACGTGAATATTTACATAATCAAAAGTGACATATATATAATAGCCAAATCTTTCTTAGGTGAAGTTTACCTGAGAGAGTTATATACTTAGTTTGTTTATAAATATATCAATGTAGAATAAAAGAAAGAAAACATTGCATTACCAAAGCATTGACTATTAAACTGTTGAAATCCTTTTATGTCAAATACTGTAATGTATTTGGAACTTATGTAGATGTAAACAGGGGAACAACAATAGTGTAAAAATAAGGCTATTTTTACCTCCTTATTGATGCGTGTAATATAGGCATTCAGGGTTTTCACACAATGTAGAAAATAGTATCAAGCATTGCGCAATTTAATACTACTACAGCGATGCATATTTTTTTTATTGTATAATGTAAATGAAACTTAAATATTTTGCTTGAATTAATTGTGGCTTTGTCCACAGAAGATACGGAAATTATGATGGTAACATATATTATGTTCAGATATTTTGCACAACACACATAAATTATAGGCAATGTAAAGTCTCCTATTGTGTACAAATTAAAGTGTGTTAGAATATGAGAAAAAAGAATTCTTGTAATACTATCATGACTATTTAAACCTTAGAACAAAAATTATACAACCGATCAGTTGGTAGCTGTTATTATATTTTACTTATTTATTTCAGTACACTGAGGTACCGTATTTAGGAAGCACTTCGAGTCAACAGACATCTGGTAAAGTGAAGACAAGACGGAGAAAAACCTTGATAGTCGAAAGTGACACAGAGATAGATGAAGCAGTGGTAAAAACTACCAGTAAAGTTGCTAAAAGGTAAAATATAATATTATTTAAATGAGTACTAAAAATCAAAAGTACTAGTAAATTTTGTATGGTTGCAAAAGAGAGTGGAAAGATGTCAAAGGGATATTCAAATCATAATTCCAAAATAAACTGACAGCGGCATGGCAAAAAAAAAGAAAAAGATAAAAAGACAACTGCTCTCAAAACACAACATAGAAAACTAAAGACAAGCAACACTAACCCCACCAAAAACCTGGGTTGATCTCAGGTGCTCTTGAGGATAAGCAGATCCTGTTCCACATGTGGCACCCATCGTGTTGCTTTTGTTATTACAAACCCGGTGCTGAGTGTAATTTAGTAGGTTACGTTTGAGAAAAAAAGGATTAGCATTAACTAGAAAAACACTGTTTTGGATGGAAAGACCTAACTATACAATAAAAATATGGATATCAAACAAAAGTAAGTTTCAATAAATTTGATGACAATTTTCATATACCTCAGGTGTTTAAAAGGATCATGTTTACTCCATTGTATATGTTTCATTTTTAAATTTTCTATGTGATGGTTATGGCCTACACAAATTGAAGTTGTCCCCAACAAGCTATTACACATATAAATTTTGATTTATTATAAAAAAAACAATTCTTTTCTAAAATTACAAAAAAAAAAATGCAACCATCAAAGTTACTTAGATAAGAAAAATTGTTATTAAACTTGTTATTGAAATTTAAAAATAATTATTTTTTTTAATTTTCAGATCAAAACGCAAATGTTCTGGACCAAAATTTGTTGGGAGAAAAATATTACATGAATGGGTGGAAGAAAACAACAATAGAAAGTGGTATAAAGGCAGGGTCATTTCTGTTATCCAGAATAAAGATGGAGACAAAGATGCTGTCTATGAAGTTTTATATGAAAAATATGAGATTGATCATTTGCTAGAGGATTTTACAAATTCCTCTTTGAAATTGATTGATTTATACATGTAAGTACAATATGATAATTTAATGTGCACCAATAGCTTGATAAGGATGCTTTCCTAACAAATAATTTCAACAACACTACAAAAATAAGGATGTCTGAACTTGGTTTAGATAATCAAATCCGATAAACCAAAAAATAAAACGTGTAATATTACAAATATAAAATGTATATGTGGTATGATTGCCAGAGAGAAAAATATAATCAAGAAACAAAAACCTGTTGATTCAATCAAATTTTTTTCAATGTATTGCCTTTGGAGGAATGGAACAAAAGCTCACAATTCATAATGTTATGGTATAGAACCACTAATTCAGGCCCGGTCGGAAAGAACATACAAGAAAGTAGTACATATTTTAAACAAAATAGTTCCTACGCATAGCTGTATCTTTGTCAATAGTGGGAATATTTGGGTAGTGCTAGTATCAAATGAAAGCTTGGGGACTTGGGGTCACTGTAGAACCCTTGTTGAAAGTTTTATTTGAATAATAAAGAAGTATAGGAAATTTTAATAGGAGGGCTCATTTGGCCTGTTGTTCAGATCAGAAGTTCCTGTTTTTGTACTATCAAACTTCCGGGAACCAGTACGCTCTAATATGCAATTAAAGGTATGTTGATTTTTTCAGCACAAGTCAGCATAAGGTACAGTTTTGACATGAAATAACTGCCACTTTATTTGAACTTAAGATAAAGTAGCCATTTATGCTTGAAATTGCAGAATTTAACATAGAAAGCAATGGGGCTATAAATTAGTGGTTTTATACCTATTACTGACAGGCATGTGAAATTCTATTTTTAGAAATCATACCCTTTACAGTGAAAATTGGTCACATTTGTTGTCAGAAATCATGTTACATTATTTTTTTTATGTAACAATTATGTTAGTGTCAAATTATAGCCCTCAAATTGCTACAATAAGGTATTTTAGCCTTTTTTGGTCATTTAGCATGCACACAGTTAAGATTTTACCTGAAATTTAAATTTTTGGATTATCTAACACTGAAACCAATGAAACTTGTATATTATGACTAGTTTATGGTATAAATATTGTTTTTGGTCAAATTATCTAGTGAGTGTTCATGTTTTATTGTGTTTCTTGGTGAATTATTTATTTCAAGGAAAATTGGTGTATACTTATATAGGAATTCCAAAATCTCACTTGAAATGCATTTTATAACCAGTTTAGCAAGTTGTCTAGCTTGGAGATACATAAATTGCTTTGTTGATTCATGTTTATACATGAAAGTATGGTTTTTTTACCTAATCACTCTCCTTTTCCAACATGTAGAAAAAAGGGGGGACAAAATTATCAATTATATTTTATGTTTGGACCACTGTATTTATATTCAAGGAAGAATCTCTGATAAAAATAAGACATATAGGTAAGAACACTGTTATTTGAGTAGATATTAACAAATCAGAACTGGTAAAAATTGAAAAAGTGTCATATCTGTCACTATTAGTATCCATATGTAGTTTTCTTTGTTTAACGCATATGTTACTACCAGTCCAATTTGAGCTTGAATTCAGTGATATAGTGTTTTGACAAAAGCTTTATGTGTTTTTCTATGCTAGAAATAGATCATAGAAGGAAATTAAGTCAAGCAGAAGTCAATATAACAAGTTTGGTGCTGTTATAGGTATAGAACCACTAATTCAGGCCCGGTCGGAAAGAACATACAAGAAAGTAGTACATATTTTAAACAAAATAGTTCCTACGCATAGCTGTATCTTTGTCAATAGTGGGAATATTTGGGTAGTGCTAGTATCAAATGAAAGCTTGGGGACTTGGGGTCACTGTAGAACCCTTGTTGAAAGTTTTATTTGAATAATAAAGAAGTATAGGAAATTTTAATAGGAGGGCTCATTTGGCCTGTTGTTCAGATCAGAAGTTCCTGTTTTTGTACTATCAAACTTCCGGGAACCAGTACGCTCTAATATGCAATTAAAGGTATGTTGATTTTTTCAGCACAAGTCAGCATAAGGTACAGTTTTGACATGAAATAACTGCCACTTTATTTGAACTTAAGATAAAGTAGCCATTTATGCTTGAAATTGCAGAATTTAACATAGAAAGCAATGGGGCTATAAATTAGTGGTTTTATACCTTATGCTATCTGTTGGTATACATACTTACATTTAATATGTAAAAAGGGAGGTAATAAGCATTAACAAATTTTTTATTTTTTTTTTAACAAAAAAAAGATATTTTCTTTATTCACTAATAAAGTTAATCGCTTTGGTAAAATAAGGTTCAATTTTGTTCAGCCACCATTGTAACTTTCTAACTTCATTTATATTATATAACATATACCATTTAATGATTTCTGAAACCATGCTCTCCATACTTTCGACAAAAGTAGTTCCAAGATGGAAGATTTCATTGTTTTTTCAATTGAAAACCAAACACTAACATTTTAATTTAATTAAAATCAAGCAAATAATGCATTAAATAACCTTGGTAGCACATATATATAGTTACAAAGAATGATTTTATTTTATTTTTTTTATAGTTTTAGAAGACGAAAGATATACAGGGCATTTTTTCTACAAAAGGACTTACATATGGTATTATATTTCTTTTATTTGACATCTAATATTTAAATCAATATACCACTATTATAGTATTGACCATGATGAACACATTGAATGTAATAAGTCATAAATTGTTTGGCATAAATATTTTAAATGTTTTTTTTTGTTTTTTTTTTGATAAAGTTTGTTATGATGAACCTAAAATGTTGCTATGCGAATAAATTCCTGGAGTACCAACTTTAATATATTTTTCTTCTTGCTATATGCCTCTCTAAAACACGCCAATTATCCGTACATGTATGCAGCTAGATCAGAGAAGTTCAGGGGAAGATTCCTGTGGATTCGATTGATATTTAGCAAAGATTAAATCGAAAGAAATATCTGTATTACTGAAAAATTATTACACCAGGGTTTTCGATATCACAAACTAGTCAAACCATTTACTAAATTTTATCATCGGTACAAGGACATCATTCGCAAATATAAATCAGCATGCAGACATCTTATACGTTCAGGTATTTCACATCCAATATTTTATGGTAATATTCTTTACCAAAGCACAAAAATGTCAGCATTCACCTCAAAAGCTAACCAAACCTTTAAACAGACTTATTCGGAAAGGATATAGTTACGATACTGTTGTCAAGTCATTAAGGATTGCATATTTTGGTATTAATATTGATTCACTCATAGGGTCTTTGCATCGGAAATAAACACATTTATTCTAAAACCAGTTGTTGGCATGGTACGGGTTGTGTTCTTCTCATATATTTTATGATGGTATGATACTAAACCCCTAACGGGATGGATTGTACTTGATTTTCATATGATGAAGACATAATCTTTCAATCAGTTTAATTGAGGTCTGGACCTGGCATGTCAGTAACTGCTGGTATTCTTTTGTTCATTTATGCATCATTGTCATTTTGCTTAGTTCCTTTTGTCACCTATTCTGACATCGGACTCGGACTTCTTTTAACCTGAGTTTTACTGTGCGTATTGGTATGTGTTTCTTTTTTCTACATTGGCTAGAGGTATAGGGGGAGGGTTGAGATCTCACAAAACATGTTTAACCCCGCCGCATTTTTGCGCCTGTCCCAAGTCAGGAGCCTCTGGCCTTTGTTAGTCTAGTATGTTTTTTAATTTTAGTTCATTTATATGTTTTGGAGTTTGGTGTGACGTCCATTTTCACTGAACTAGCACACAATTTTATTTAGGGGCCAGCTGACGACCACCTCCGGGTGCGGGATTTTCTCGCTGCATTGAAGACCCATTGGTGGCCTTCGGCTGTTGTCTGCTCTTTGGTCGGGTTGTTGTCTCTTTGTCCATTCACAATTTTATTAACACTTTTAAAATTAAGTTACTAAGCAAATTCAAACGGACCTTATCCGGATGTAAACATTGAATGTGAATACACAGAGAACACCGCAAATACAAGTACAGAACTAGAGAAGACTTTTTCTTAAAATTCCATAAAAATATAGTAAAAATCTTTAAACCGATAACCTGGTTTAATAATATTTTTAATAACATTAACTTTTTTAACCTGTACAAACATGACTTTTAGATTGTTATATTCACGGAAAAACAATATTTCTATACTAAAAGTTCACGTGAAAGAGCAGACCGGTGTACTCGAAAACTTAAATGTTAAAGATAGGTATATTTTGGAAAATTGTTACATGTTAAGGACTATGTTGAACACTCCGAAATTTTTTGACCTGAAAGATCATTAGATTTTGTATGTACATGATTTTCTCCAATTTTTTTTATCGTTATGCATCAAAGATTTACATTTTTAAAATTTCAGTTTCACATGCTTCTAATGCAATTATCTTTGTAAATAATGAACATAAAATATCGTGTGTTTGCATATATATTTCTAATAACACAGTTAAACCAAGAGTTCCAAATGGTGAAGTTAAAAACATCCCTTCGTAAATTTTACGGACGCCATCACGAGTTGGTTGACCGTTATGGAATAACCGTTTCACAGATGATATCGACTATGTTCCTTATGTCGTCACTACAATATCCTTCCCTTTTCACGAATGGGACCTACCGAATTAGACTATTTACCGGATTGGTAATAATATAAGCAACACGACGGGTGCCACATGTGGAGCAGGATCTGCTTACCCTTCCGGAGCACCTGAGATCACTAGTCTTTAGTTTTCTATGTTGTGTCATCTGTACTATTATTTCTCTGTTTGTCTTTTTATTTTTGGCCATGGCGATGTCAGTTTGTTTTCGATCTATGAGTTTGAATGTCCCTCTGGTATCTTTCGTCCCTCTTTTTTAACAAATAAGTTCTTTAAATTGTACGATTGTTTTTGAAAAACAAATTTTGATCAATACCGTCACCGGCTTTGTTTTACTATTGTTTTCTTAACTCTTTTCAACAAAATGTCTAATTTGGTAGAAGTTTAACTAACACAAATATTGGTCGTGTTTACCAAAAAAGTACTTATGTCATTTTTTAAACATAAATTTATTGCAATCAAAACCCTATTGTCAATGGCTTGATAGCTATATTTGGCTATATTTCGGACCTTATCATTGAGTTTTTGAGTACACACAACTTAAACAGTATGTGAACATTCTTTAGATCATATCTATACTCATGTCAAGCAATGTATTAATAAATGTAAACTCAGACATGTACGTAACTTTGCCTTACACTATGTATTAAGGTAAGGGACAATGGACAAATGCATAAGGCATCTTCATATAAGGTTTATATTTTCCAGTTCTTGTACCTTCAAGAAGATAAAACTTTATAAAATAATTTATTATATTTCTGTTTATGTATTAGCATCCGTATGTCTATGTTGTTTCACATATTTCTTTCTAAGTAATACACAATAACATACAGACCCAAACCATTTTATTTGTCATCAACTAATAATAAATTTCAGACATAAAAGACAATGGCATCATCATCATCGTGTAAAGATGTCTGTACACTTTGTAAAGACGACGATGTATCAAGTCAAGCACTCACATGGTGCACAGAATGTGAGGTTTTCCTTTGTATGGATTGTGATAATCATCACAAAAAATCACGATCATCTAAATACCACACAACCATGCATACTGAAGATTACCACAAGCTACCTGCATTCATGCAAAAAATAAGCAGCCAGTGCAAAGAACATAATAAAAAGTTTGAACTGTTTTGTACTTTCCATGCATGTCCATGTTGTGTCCAGTGTGTTACAAAACACCACAAATGTCAAGACATGAAGCCACTGTCAGACATCCTTACAAATGTTAAAGCCTCTGTCTCTGTCCAGCTACTCGAGAAAGATTTAAAGGTTCTGACGGAAAACCTTGACGAGAGTGTAAAGTATTTGAAAAGCAGGATTAATGAAAATAACCTTCAGAAAACAAAAGCCATTGAAAAAATTCGTACTATGAGGAAGTCCATAGATGATTTCTTAAACAGGTTAGAACAACAAACTTTTGATGACTTAGAATCTAACCACTCTAAGCTTGAATCAAATATTAACACTCTTCTGAAACAAATTGAAGATCGATCAGTTAAAATACACAAACTTCAAGACGAATATTTCAAGATGACACAATATGCCACCGAGTTACAAATGTACTTTGGTTTGACTGAAATGGAGAAGATAACATCTATAGCAACAACATACATAGAAAATGTAGAGAGTGGGGACTACTTGAAGGAAAATAACTTAGAAATTAAAATTTCATCTGCGCTTCAATCAATTTTACAAGATGTCAAATCATTTGGAGATATAAATATCACGTCTAGCCCTTCTACTGTTCAAATTAAAGCAGGAAGAAAAGATCAAGCACAACAATTAGTACATACTGTTCCTGAGGTTAATCAAATTAAGCCATCATTACTGAAAACAGTGACAATGCCCGGAAAAATTGGCTCCGTAACTATATATGCTTGTAGAATTTTACACGATGGTAGTTTTCTAATCATTGATCACAAAAAAGATCGACTTTTACTTTTCAATAATGAGGGCATCTTAATGAGAACTGTGGTGACATTCGAAGTCAATCCATATGATCTTTGCATTGTTAGAAATAATACAGTAGCAATCTCACTCGGAACATTAAAGCAGGCAGTTCTGGTTGATATAGAAAATAACAAAATAATTAAAAGAATTGAACTTTCTCATAACTGCGGAGGAGTTACAAGTGACGGTCAAATTTTATTTGTCATCTCTGCTCTTGATGACAAGTGTACTATAGTTAATCTGACAGATATGTCTCATAAAATCATAGGAGTTGGAGGAAGCTTTATTTCGTTATTTAAAGAAAAAATTTACTGCACTAACTCGAGAGAAGACAAAGTAAGTTGCTTCAAAACGACTGGGGAACCACTATGGACATTTATGCACAAGGATATTAAATATCCAAATGGAATTGCATTAGACATCTATGGCTTTGTTTATGTGGCTTCTTTTAGATCCAATAAAATCGTGGCTGTGTCACCAGATGGGAAAACAAGTAAGACAATACTATCAGAAGCTGATGGAATTGTTGGTCCTATTGGAATAGACATAAAAAGAGACACAGGAATGATAATAGTTTCAAGCAGAATAAGTTCTAAAAGACAAAACATTTTTGTTTTCAAAATTTGAAAATATGTTAACTGTAGATTTGATAACAAAGGTGTTAAGAATTATCTCTGACAAGGGCAAGTTTACTTCTAAAATTTGATAAATTTTCTCTTTTTCAAAATAAATTTTTTAAAGTTACATAGGTAAAACAAACACCGACAACAGGCTTAACTACCCTACTCCAAAACTTAATAGTAAAAAGTAAAATAGCAAAAATACCGAACAAGCATGACATAAAAAATATTTTGTTTTCCTAACTTGTAATGTGTTTCTTGGTGGCAAAAAAAAAAAATTTAAACTGAATAAAATATATATAAAAAAAACCAACAACAGGCTAAACTATCCTAGTCCAAAACTTAATAGTAAAAAGTAAAATAACAAAATACCGAACTTCAAGGAAAATAAGGTTCAACAAATGTAAAACCAAACAGACCTAAAAAAAACATATCTCTCTTCAAGCATGACATAAAAAAGATATTTTGTTTTCCTAATTTGTAATGTGTCCCTTGGTGGCAGAAAAATAAAATTTAAACTGAATAAAATATATTTTTTTCATTACCAAAACCTAGTATAGCATGATTAAATGAAAAAAAATATTTTGAATATGACAAGATTTTCAAGAATTGTCTAAAAAACACAAATTAATAAAAGATTTAAGAAAAAATAACCTTGAAACCGAAAAACAGCTACAACAACACTGACAACATCTATATATAATATCCATCAAATACATATTTTCATCTTGTCTTATTTTAGTATCGTCGCACAAATCTAAAGAAATACATTAAAATATTTTGTGGTGTATGGATAGCATACGTTGCAGAATTCGTGCCTATAAAACATTTCCGACTTTTTGATGATTCAAGTTCATTTAAGGTGACAAATCAGTAAAAAATTAGCAAAGCAAAAGGATTTGCACATCTCCACATAACTTTCAACAACTGTGTAAAATTTCATTGCATTTTAAAGCATTTTGTAGAAGGAATTGTGCTTTTAATAAACTGTTTATGATTTTCGGTGATCAAAGTAAAAAAAACAACAAATCCAAAATAAAAATAATTATGAATATCTACATGCATAATGGTAAACAAATGTATGAACATTCATTGCAATTCGTGGCACAACTACATTAAAGCCATATCAATTCCCATTTTTGCAGGAAAAATTAGAATGATATCTGACATACAAAATAAATTTGACAGTTCTCCATTTCCATTTACATATAAAGTCCTGCATTTAAAGGGAAATAAATCTGATATCTAGTTCTTTGGATATTTGCTCCAAAACAACATAAGCAACACGACGGGTGCCACATGTGGATCTGCTTACCCTTCCGGAGCACCTGAGATCACTCCCAGTTTTTGATGGGGTTCGTGTTGCTTAGTCTTTGGTTTTCTATGTTGTGTCATCTGTACTATTATTTGTCTGTTTGTCTTTTTATTTTTGGCCATGGCGTTGTCAGTTTGTTTTCGATCTATGAATTTTACTGTCCCTCTGGTATCTTTCGTCCCTCTTTTTTTTGAGACGAGTTAGCAATTTTTTCCCCTTAAAAGTGCCAGGCAAGTGCTCTACAAGAGAAGGGAGCGATGTTATTATTTCATCTTTGTGATTAAAAGTTGTACACTATATGTATATCTTATAACTGGGCTACTTTATACTCATTTAAGACTAATATGAAATAAGAAAAGGCCGACAAAGAGGCGCACAGTTGGTTCCCATGGGAAAACCGACAACCTGTTTCTACCTCAAAATTCAACAAATCTGTTGTCAATGAGTAACTTCCGAATACTGATCACTTGTTCTTCGGTGTGGCATATTATCTCCTCGAGTTCATTTTTAAGGAAATATGCCGGATGTATTCCAAAACTATAAATTTGTAGCGTACGGTAGAAGTAGGTTTAGTTTCGATAAAGATTGTCTAATTGCTGCTAAACATCCAGTTGTAACAAGTCATGCATATTCATGATTAAAACAATGAGCGAGGTGAGTATTTCTTGCTTTGTATTAGCACAACATGCTAGCTCCATAGGTATTCAAATTCTTCATGTCACGCCATTCAGATATATGTAGATAATTATGAGCACACCACTTTTCCTCCTAAAAGCATCCAATGCCATAGCTTGAACCAAGGACATACCCTTATTATGCCAGTATAACAAGATTATCACTTTGGTACTTTGAAGTCCAACTGACAAAAATTCTACTTGTATGCCTGACTAACAGAGCGATATGAAGTTTCATCAAAATCAAATACTTCTTGGATTTGTTACCGATGTGGTTTGTGACATTTACCATTTCATTCATCCAAAACAGATAAGTTTATGCCTGCTGTCCCAAAGTTGATAATCTGGTATAGAAAGCGTCAATTTTGACGACTGTTCATCCTTTTTTTCATGGAATTTGAAGGAAAGGAATGCTGAAAAAGAGGGACGAACGATACCAGAGGGACAGTCAAACTCATAGATCGAAAACAAACTGACAACGCCATGGCCAAAAATAAAAAGACAAACAGACAAATAATAGTACAGATGACACAACATAGAAAACTAAAGACTAAGCAACACGAACCCCACCAAAAACTGGGGGTGATCTCAGGTGCTCCGGAAGGGTAAGCAGATCCTGCTCCACATGTGGCACCCAGTATCTGAAAGCTGTATCTCTGTGGTCTGCATATAGAACATGTAGAATGGATCCTCACAGAAAGGTTCAGGTCTAAGTGAAACTGGATATGGCAGTCTAAATAAAGTCTTTTCAACATGATATGAGGAATTTTCTTAATTTCTCTGATATATGGATTCACCGTAACCTGCAATCCTTCATTTAGCGCATTAAAGTGTTAAACACCATCAGTTGTTAAATGCCAGGGTTTAACTATTATTTGTAGTTCTAGATTTCTGTAAAGCATTGGCCATACATAGAAGCCACCTTTTTTGAAATTCCAGTATTATCCGAATCAATTTTCAACTGGGTTAATGGAAAGAATACAACAGATGCTCCAATGAATATTATGATATATTGGTGTCTGTACCGAGTCAAGCTTTCTTATCTCACGGTGGTGTAGTATTTTTTTTAATATTTGGTGAGATTTTGTGTGCGTAAATATTCGAATATCTGAATTCATATAGCATCACAACTTCTTTAAGAAAGAATAGTTACAACATGTTTGTCATGCATATCTATTCATGGACTTTATTCCGAATAAAAGGTTTACCATATTAAAATCAAGTGAATTCATTAAGAAGATACAAATCAAGGGAAAAAATGAAAACTTCAGGACTTACATAAACAGTTCCTAGTGAGCAAGATGTAAAATTGTTTTATCATCCAATAATTTTGTAAAATAGAAATAACTGTTGAATGCTAACTAGAGCTAGTGGGTGAATATGCAATTTTTTTTAATAAGATTAAATTAACAGGACTAATACTTGGTCTGGACATGCGCTTCTGCATTTAATTGATTCATGCAATTGCCTGATCATTCCCTTTCATCAAAGACACATAAAATCTGAAAAAAAGTTCCCTTGCACAGTGAGAGTTGTAAAATTTTAAAAACTCGGCAAACAGAAAGCATGAAAAATGTATCATTTCCTCATATGTAGATACAATTAGTAGAATTAATAATACCAACTTCTAAATGGGTTAATATGACACAAAGGGTCACGTCTTCAGCCAAATGGAAGTTAACAAATTTTGTTTCATCAAATAGTTATTCCCTCAAGAATAAGTCTATGTTATTAAAACACAGTTTTAAATAAGGTTAATTTAATCAATTGGTAATCAGAACAATGATTTTTTTACTTGATATCAGAGGTTTCTATGATACTTTTTAATACTAGTAGTGCTAAAATAAAATAAAACGCTGGCTGCAAGGATCATTTGGATCATTTGGAGTAAAGAACTAAAAGTGACAGACGCTACCAGGACCTCCCCTTTTTTTGCACTTTTTGTGTGAGGCACAGAGAGAAACAGAAATATTAGAACAGATAAAGCATATTATTTTACACCAGGAAAAAAATAAGGAAATTGCAGAGGTGAATATCCAGTATGTTAAGATTCGAGCTATGAATGTATGTATGGTTTTGATGTATTTTGCTGCCATTTCAAATTAAAGAGATCGAAATTACTGGTGGAAAGATTGGAATAGTATTATGAATCTTTTAAAATCATATTTAAGTATTTGCAGACAAAATTTGTTTAATAAAGCATTATTGACGACAATTGCATTTCGTAGTTCTTAAGAAATATTTCCTTTTCAGAGGATACAATGAGCTGAATGTGAGTCAATCACAGTTGGTTTCCTAATTAGCATCACAATGTCTTTAAAATTGCAATTTCATATCATAATCAAATAAAATTCAAAGTTTCAAGTTTATAGTGTGCATTATTTGTAACAGAAAAAATTATCAGATAAGGATTCTTCTTAAAAAGTTGATAAATTTTACTCGTAGCGTGTAGAAAAACTTGGAACTGAGCCTTGTGTTTCCCAAAATCAACCTTGTAAAGATCGTTGGAGTTCAAACATAGATATACTATTTTTCTTTTTAAAAGATTTTTTTTATTGATTTCGGAAGCAAATATATAACACTGAAGGTATGGTGGCATTGGATAATTTGCATTTCCATAAACTTACTATAAAATTATTATTCTATTGTCAAAAGATGGAGAATTTTACGGAAGCGTATTAGCGCCGCACATATTTTTTTTATATTTCTTCCTTTGTTTCCGTTATTCCGCAAATGTTTGCGTTAGTTCGCAAGAATTTGCGTTATTCCGCAAAGGTTTGCGTTATAGGAAGAAATAATAAAAAAAGAAAAAAATGTGTGCCGCAAATACGCTTCCGTAGAATTTTTCATTTTTGAGGCATATTCTTTTAAGATGGTGTATCGATTTTTTAGATCTTATTTTTCCTTATCATTTGTCATTAAAATTTGATACGAACGGAAAGAGAATTCTCAACGGATGTTGCAATGCAGTTTTTTTTAAATTTCTTTTATCATATTTTCCAGAAAGAGCCATTGTGTCAATGTACTTTTTCAGCAACGAAAACATTTGGTAATTAATTTGATTATGTAGGAGTTCATTAATAACTTGAAAAAGTGCAAAAATACAATACACTGTATTGTAAAACATTAAGATGG